GTGATGGATTGCACCTATAAGACTAATAAGTACAAGATGCCATTGTTGGATATCATTGGAGTCTCAAGTTTCAACACATCATTTTATTCTTGTTTTGCCTTCATGCAAAAAGAGGAGGAAGAGGATTATGTATGGGCGGGTAGCTGACAATGTTTAGTAAACTCATGGGGATTAATAATCGTCCACGGCGATTATATCAGATAGGGAATTATTGAAGAAAGCTATAGAAAGTGTCTTCCCTAGAACTACAAAGATTTTATGTGTCTGGCATATTGAGAAAAATATTCTTACAATTGTAAGTCTCATTTTGATAACGAAGATGATTGGGTTAATTCCATATCCACTTGGATTAGTTTAATACATTATCCTGATGAATCATCATTCAACGAAGCTTGGAATTGTTTTGAAGTAAAATACAAGGACAAGTACAATAATTATGTTCTTAAATATATTACAGTTACATGGCTACCTTTCAAAGAAAAATTTGTAAGTGCATGGACTGAGCAGGTTATGCACTTTGGTAATCGTATTAGTTCAAAAGCAGAAGGTGCACATGCAATGTTAAAGAAGTATCTTCAAGTTTCAACTGGAGACCTTCGTGAGGTGTAAGAAAACATTTGTCTTGCTATTGAAAATCAATTTCAAAAAATCAAAGTTCGACTCTCAAGTGAGAAGAACTTCAAATTCCTTTCTTTAAAGAACTTGTTACTCATGTATCTATGTTTGCATTGGATGAGTTACATAAGAAATATGGATTAGAAAAATACACTAATGTTTTATCTCGGTGTAAGGGCAATTTTTAAAAACAATGGGCCTTCCTTGTGCACACATGATTAGAGAAATGAGAAGTGAATTGCAATTGAAGGACGTACATGAGCAAAGGAGGATTGATACAAGATCGTTTAGTGATGTTTGTGATGTTAACTTGGATGGTAATATAGATGAAATAAGTGATCTTCTGGTAGATTTTAAATCAAAGTACGAGAAAATGCCCATTTCTGAAAAAAAAGGTACCAAAAGACAGCTATCCTAGTTTTTGTGCTTCTTTTCCTTTAATTCTTGAGCCTACTATTCAAGTTCATAAGGCTCGTCCATCAAAGTCAAAAAAAGAGAAAGGAATCTAACTCCACTTAGCATGAGCCTTCGTCGTTTGAGATAGTTGAGAACTCCCGAAAATGTAGCATTTGTAACATGTTGCAACAACCGTCGGACCTGTGAACTCAACGAGAGAGCTGCATGATTTCTGTGGTATGATTGCAGATTTTGAACACAAACATACCTGTACGTTCTCTTTTTATAATTACTCTTTAAATCACGTTCATCTCGGTTGAGACTTAAAATTAATTTGTGTTCCCTCAACTGAAATTTCTCTTGTATGTGTAACAACTAAAGTCTGCAAATAGACTGCACCTTTTTATCATTTGTATTTTAATGTGAGTTTGAATATATAGGACATATTTATATATGTTTTCTAATTGTTTTGGTATATTTTATTATGATATACAGGTTATGCACTTTGCTGATGCATATTTGTGTGCTTGATTGAGATGTGGAGGCAATTGAAGATTAGAGTTTGATTATCAAGGAAATGGAAACAGGCTTCAAGCTTGGTTTGAGATGTGGAGGCAATTGCTGATACATATATGTTTGGATGCTATGTTTATAATTATTTAACTTTGCATTGACATGGTTAAAATTCTAGAAAAAGAACATGAGATTATTCCTTGTTATGATATTCAAGATATGAACTATGATAGTGTAAGATCTCACATCGTCTAAGGGAGTGGATTCTGTAAGTCTTATATGTATATTCTCACCTCTACCTAGCACGAGGCTTTTTGAGACCTCACTGGTTTCGGGTTCCATCAGAACTCCGAAGTAACGCGAGTTCGTGCGAGAGCAATTTCAAGATGGGTGACCCATTGGAAAGTTCTCGTCTGAGTTCCCATAAACAAAACCGCGAGGACTTGGTCGGGACCCAAAATAGACAATATCGTGATACGGCGAAGTCAAGTCCAGAAAGTGATCCCTCCTGAGCCGGCATGTGACAAATAGCCACAACTATTATGTCGTATTTTAGAAGGATTACTTGTTGCCTTTAGCAACAATTTTATGTTGTTGAAAAGAATGAAAACCAATTTATTTTAGTCATTAAAATTATACTTAATGAGGTTTTCAAAATTCTAAGCAACATTAAACGCAATACAAGGGCAAAATCGGAAATCACATTAAAAGAATTAAAATAGATAAATCAGAAATACAAAAGGAGCATAGATTGAGATTTTGAGAGTGCTAATAACAGCTTTCTAAAAAATATCAAACTTGTTTACCAAGGCCCAGAAATGAAATATGCCAATGATATGCTCCACCGCTTGTAGCAGTCCATAATTATGCCTGTTGGAGCTCAAGGCCCATTTACCCAAAGAATAAAAAAACACCACAGGTCCAGTAGGACCAGTACACATCACCAGTTAAAAGTGGACCCCACCTTATCAAGTACCTGCACTTCGAGAAATTTTTCCATGAACAAACACCTTAGCATGACAAGTGGTACTCCTCATCAATAACCTATGGACACCTGTATCCTTACTATTAAATAAACTTATTATCTGATTTTTTGTTAAAAAAGTTTTGAACCCTTATCATTAATTTTCTAAGAAAATAAGGCAAACCGTTTCTTGCTTAAATCACTGAGCTTTGGGTCCTCTTCCTATTGTGTTCTGTGCTTTGAAAGCTTCAATCACCTTAATTACAGAAATTTGAATGCAAAGAGCAGATCAACGAGGGTGTAATCCGTAATGTTGTCTGATGGAGCGTCCGACCCTTGTTTGAGGTAAACTTTTTCTCGGCTTGAGTTAAAAGGGCGACGAGGGGTTCTAAGTTATGAGTTAGACTATTCGATTTTGTAGTTTGTTCACGAGTTTGATATAGTTTCTTAAATCAAGTTATTTGGTTGGTATTCAATATGGTTAAAATTAATGTATTTTAGGTGGTGTACATCCTCCTGATGTTAATCAAATCATACGCAAGTATATTTGTGATCTTCTCAACTAAAGATACTCTAGACAAAATCAGGTTACTTGATTTTGCAAGTATAGATAATCTGATTTCTTATTGTTTATGCAATTTGTTCAGACCATCTCCAACCGAAGGGTCCAGAACCGAGGACTAGGCTAGAGAGCTCTGGAATCTGAGAGGGCCTCACGGAATCGGAGAAGGCTAAAGGGCTGTCCAGAAAATTCAGTTTTCCTGTCGGTTATAACCGACAAAAATGCTAGCCGTTACATTAAAAAAAATTTTAATAGTTTTATTATTATTTTTTATTTACAAAATTTTTCCTATAACTTCTATTTTTAATATTTTTTTAAATTCTATTTTTTCCTATAACTTTATTTTACAAAATTTGTTTCATTTTTTTTAAAATTCCATTTTTTCCTATAACTTCTATTTCACATAGTTGCTTTATTTTATTTTAAATTCTATTTTTATCCTATAACTTTTATTTCACAAAATTTGTTTCATATTTTTTTAAATTATACTTTTTTCCTATAACTTTCTAAGCCATTATACAACATTAAATTAAATTAAGTAACATGAAACAATATTAAACAATATGAATTTAAGTTGTTTCATGCTGATGTCACTTAGCCGTTGGATTTGAATTTAAGTTGTAGTTTTTAAATAATAAATTATGTTTGGCCCTCGATTGGAGACGGTTTTTTGTGGCAGGGCTAAAACGAGCTTTCTAACCCTCTAGCCCTCGGTTGGAGACGTAGACAAATATGGGCATGTACTGTTCAATAAAATATTAATATCTTGGAGAATCTTGGAGGGCTAGAGGGCCAAAACGAGCCTTCTGGCCAACCCTCGGTTGGAGATGGCCTCAGTGTGCTTGTTAAAGAGCTTATTATAAACCTCTTTGAGAACTTATAAAGGGGGTTCTAAACTCCTTTTTTGGTTTTTACAAATTGTCCACCAAGAGGAATTGCTGCAGCAAGACTCAAATTTAGGTCTTGGTCTGAAACGAACCTCGCCAACCTCATGTATCTACAGCAAGGAATATTCATAACAATATCCAACCCATCTTCCAAAAATAACCCCAACTTAAAAAGTATACTAAGTTACTAGCTTCAAATATGAGGAGAGTTTTCACCATGTATTTTCCCAATTACGCTCAAGATTTTATCTAATGTGAGAGCTCTAAGATAAGAGAGAATGAAAATTTAGGCATTCATTCTCATACATTCACCAACTTTTGTAGTATTTAAGATTACCAATTTTAGGTTTACCTACTTCAACATGGTGTAATTTGAGTGTCGCATAGCGTACAAGTACAACACTAGTTCCAGCGAAAAATGTGGCTGCTAACTACTACACAACTCTCATAAGCAAACAACGTTCACCAAGCATTTTGAGATTAATTCTCTCTTTTTTCGTGTTTTGATGCCTCACAGGTGAACAGGACATGATAGCATATATTTTCTGTGTTAGTAAATTGCTTCTGTGTGGTGGGCCCTCCCTTGTTTTTAAAATGATTGAAAGTTTTTAGTGAAATTGGTTTTAAGTTCTAAAAATATTTTTAAATGCTTTTTGAAAGAAATATCAAATATGTACTTCTTGCTTCCAGGATTTACTTTGATTTTTATCAAGTATTGGTTTTAAAAAGTGTTTTTAACCATTTTAAGAGCACTTCCAAACGATATTGTTTGGTTAGGGACAAACAATTTTTATCAACGCATTTGAATCTATTAAGAACACATTTCAACCAATTCCGTGAATATAAATAGTAACTAACCCCAATACTAGAGAATAGAAAATACTCAAATTAGCAAATCTCAAATATATATCTTCGATCATGAGATAAAATTTTCACCTCCCATCCGCAGTTTGAGTGTCTATTTGTCAATAAATAATTTCTTTTTGACCAATGCGCGATAGGGTGTGAAATTGGAACTTTGTTACCCATTGTTCATTAGAATACTTGGGTTTAGGTATGAAAAAGTTGGGTTCAAAAAGGCACACTCAGTCACTCGCACACCTCCTTTCACTGTTTCACATACTCTGTTTTCTCTGCCTTATCTCCTCCTCCTCCTCCATCCATGACTACTCTAAGCACTCTCTTCCGCCTCCACACTCCGCCGTCAAACCCACCACTCTCCCACACCTCTCCGCACCCCCTCCGCCTCTCCTGCTCCTTCAAACCCACAAAACCCCGCAAACGACCTTCTCTATCCGCCTCAACACCGCCGCCGCCGCCCGCCAGAGACAGAGTCATAGACTTCGGAAAACACAAGGGCAAGATGCTGGGCACCCTCCCTTCCGCCTACCTCAAGTGGGTCTCCAAAAATCTCCGCGCTCGCGACTTCGAGGACTGGGCCAAGCTCGCCGACCAGGTCCTCGACGACGCCGTTTACCGGGACCGGATCGAGTGGGAGCTGGCGGAGAACATCCTGAACGGGAATCGGAGGAATTTTATCGCCGCCGGTGGAGTTTCGGAGCTGTTGGAGATCAGCGAGAGGTTCGGTTGGGATAATGAGGACAAAATTGGGTGGAGCAGGGTGAACTTTGAGCTTTTGGGGACGTCGAAAGGGGGGAGAATTCCGAGGAGGAGTGAGAAGAAGGGAGGAGAGAGAGGGGAGGAGAGGGAAGAGGAGAAGGAGGTAGTGGAGGATTTGGGGGAGGTCGGAGAGAGGCGGAGGGAGAGGAGAGTGAGGGTGAGGCAGAGAATGAGGAGGGAGGAGAAGTTGGGGATTTTTGAAAAGAGTGGGGGTAGTGTTACAAATGGAGTTGGGTTAGGGAGGGAGAAAGAGAGTGGCGGTGAGGATTGGATGGTGGAGAATTCGAAACGGTTTCCTGGACGTGAAGGTCTGTTGAAAATGGCATACAGCAGAAGAACCGGGAGATTTTCGTAAGAATTGTTATTAGCACATTAAAAATTTATTCTTAAATATTTTAAGGAGTGCCAATAATAATCTTACTTTTTCTTCGTTTTCTTAAGTTGATTAAAAGTGTATTTAGGATTTTGAGAATTTTGAGATATTTGACTGGATTTATATATTCATGCATTTTGATGAATTTACTAGAGATTGAGTGTAAAATTTGAGTAATGTTATTCTTACTATCTAAATATACTATAAGCAATTGAGATGCATCCACATCAGTTGAAAAATTCTCATGTCAGATAAGGTGTATGCGTTCTAGCCAAACGTTGGATTTCATGGGTCTTTAATTCCGGCAACATTGAACAAAAATCTGAAGAGGATTGGATACGATATTTTCCTTTATATTCTATGCTGAGGATTTTCCGAATGGAAGAAGATTTGGAAGACAACCTCTTTTTTTCCTTCTTCACGGACTTTTGGTTAGCACCAAAATCTTTTCCTAATCCTCTACAGGAATGAAAATTTCATTCCATGTTATTTCCCGATGTAGTCGAAGGTTTTGGCTTGAATTTTCATTGGAATTATCATCTGTTGGACTCAGATCAGGTGGAGAGATGAAACGTATCTGACAGGGAAGTTGAACGGGTAGGGTTTAAGCAAAAATAAAATAAATAGAAATTCCACCTAGGTTGACACCTAAGCTTCCACATCATGTGGTATACTAAATGTGGTATAATAATACGGTAAGAGTAGCATTATTGGTAAAATTTTGAGTTAAGATTTGTGATTGCTTAAAATACACTACAAAATTTCTTGAATTCTTTGAGCATTTTAGATTCTTCAATTTTTTTAAATTCTTTAAAATCAATTCTGAATTAGATATGTACGTAAAATATTTTTAAAATTCTAATTGAATGCATTGAGATTTTTTTTTTAAATTTTGATACTCTTTCAAAATCATATTAAAATAATTAAAATTCTCAAAATCTTAATTGAATAGATCCAAATATTATAGATTGGATTGTGTTTCTCATCATCCATAGGTTTTTCAATTTAGATTTAGATTTCATATTTAAAATTTATGTTGAAAAATAGTGAAATAGAATTTGTAAATTTTGGTCACATGATGATCATGGTACCAATGAAATATATAAATGGAAAGATAAGTGCCGACTCACAATCTTGAGATTGATCTTCGTCATCCATGTTCGTTCTAAGACCAACATAATTGTTTACAACTGATTCTTGCATTTTCCAAATAGGAATTCAAAGATTTAACATGGTCGTTTAAGTGCAAGTTTAAACGAGATGTCAAATTTAAAACATCAAAATGAAATTTGATAACCTATGCAACAATTTGAATAATTTTTTGTTCCAACTGATATGTTAAATAATAATGTAATTCTAAATTTTTTTTTTATCTTTTTGTGGGGTCCAATTATTGAGATAACCAATCAAATACTTGTAATACACAATAACATTTATTATATATTGCATCACATTGATTAAAAAAAATTATTAAATGAATTTGAGACCTGCTGTCATGTGATCACGTAATAAATCGAAAGCTTGGTTGGAAATATTTTGCTACCATTTTTTACTATTTTATGTCTATGTGGCAATTTTGACATATTCTTTGGAGATACTCTAATACTATCAATTACTATACATATCAATGATGTCATAGAACAATATAGTTCAATTTTTACCTAACCAAATCATCTCAGTTATAGTTAATAGTTTTAAACCACATTCTTCTCCTTTGGAGATGCTCTAAGACTATCAATTACTATACATATCAATGATGTCATAGAACAATATGGTTCAATTTTTACCTAACCAAACCATCTCAGTTATAGTTAATAGTTTAAAACCACATTCTTCTCTTTTTAGTAATTATCTTCACTTGTAAGTTAGGTCAATTCTTGTTAAAAAACGAATTTGAACCATATTATTGCTAATTCATTGTGAGGCTTAGCCCATTTCTTCACCCCTTAATGTAGATAATATAGTATGTTAAAAACAAAAAAACCACATTCTTTTCTACAATCCCAAATTTACAAATAAAAGATGATATGTAAAGATAAATAAACTAAGAAGGGGATGATTTAGTTTGTATGAAGTGATTTAAAGGCGACCAACACCCTGGACGAACCGAACCAATACACCTTGGTTCGGTTTGATTGTGAAAGCACTCGAAATTTTCGATAATCAAAACCAACCAAACTAACAATTTCGATTTGAATTTGGGCAGTTCAACCAGTTTGTTGTATGATAGGTGAGTTCACTTTTATAACAATTATAGATGGTAGGTCACATCGTTTTCTCATCCGAGAATCTAACATATGGTTGGTAGAAGCCAACAAAAGGACTACATATGCCAACTGTGCAAAGCATTGTAGTCCACAAAGTCATCTTTCACAATTTTCTTTTTTTTAGCAAATTTATCAATAGTATTTACATGTATTCGGCATATAACGTTGTAGTATTATTTCACTCAATGTATAAAGTATATTTATTTTAAGTTAATATATTTTTTTTAAAAAAGCACCTTAGTTTTGTCTTCCACTCATATTTATGTGACAAAATAACATTACTTGATCGTGCTCGTGTTCGGTAAACAAAAATTTCTCCAATTTTACATACACCAACTACTCGGACCAAGTAACTCAAATTTATTACCCAAAAACGAATAATGATGGAAAAATATATAAAATACAAGATGTTATAACGCTTTAATTGAAAAAATAGATATTTTTAAATACAATTAGCATTTGCCTACACACTTTGTGTGTATGAACATATTTTTTTTTTTAAATGAGAAGGAGAGAGGGAGGGAGTTGGAGGTTTTTGTTTTGTTTTGTTTTTTTTTTTTTAATATTGAAGGTATTTTAACATCATCGGTAGGTGAGGCTTCGGTTCTTTTGGTTGACAAAGAAGATTCCATTAATTAATAGAGATTATATCATTTTTTATGGAAATTCAAGTGAAAATTACAAGAGAAATCTGACGTCATTCACCTAAAACAGCCGTATAAGGAGAGGAAAGCAAGAGCCTTGTCTTTCTTCTTCCACTGGAACATTCAGCAGAAAATTCGGGCAAATTTATAAATAAATAAAAAAAAAAAAAAAAAAAACCCTTTGAGCTGAAAAGCTCACTCCTTCCTCTCAGTCTATCAGGTAATATAATTCCTTATCACTCCCTTCCTTCTCTTCTCGAATTATTTTGGACATATTTAATCTTTGTTTTACTGTTAGTTCATAATATTTTGCACCATGAAATCTCCAATCAGTTGTATGAAATTCTCAATCGTTTGACTCTCTGCATGTTATTATTATGTTGATCAAACACTAATCTTTCATTTGTTTGTTGGATTAAGTAGCCAAATTAATTTGGGTTTTCATCTTACAGCTGAAATTTTAATAAAATATTATGTGAAATCAACAGATTATGGTATTGTGAATTGTTTCAGTTCTGCTTAATTGTGTAATTTGAAAGAGTAACAAGTATTTGGTGGCTTGGTTCTGTGATTTTCCATTTTCTGGTGGCTCAAGTGTTTCCTTTTTGTGTCTTATGTTTTGGCTTATTATCTGGTATTCAGGTGAGTTTTAGCAGAATTGGATTGATTTTGATGAAGACAAATATAGGTTGCTTTGTATTTTTGTTTTAGTTTCTGCAGGAGTTTCTGGGACAATGTTGTATACTCGCGAGAACTAACAAAGTTAATCGTTCTGTTTATATCGTCTCATTAGAGTGTCTTGTTTCTTTAAGCTAGAACAAGTTGGGAAGAATTTGTTTTGGTATGTTGCGATTTGCAATGTTGAAGTTAGTTTGTGCCCTGGTTCCTTGCAAAGACTTAAACCCGAGGACCACTTTCTATCCATTATAATCTAGTCTTTTACTATAAACATTTTATGGTTGTTTCTTTGTTCAATGTAAAAGAGTAAAGTAATTGTGATCCTTGTTTTCTTTTCAAGCAAGGTAAACTATAAATGCTCGGTTTTAAAAAACTGTAAGTTAACCTTCAAATAATGTGAATCCTTCGCCTTGTCTAATGTTCTATTCTGCCTGTCTTTGTTCCTTCCTTTCTGCTTGATTCAAGTGACTCCTTTTGTCATTTCATTGTTCATTCATCTTCCTTCCATGAGTTTCTTTTTCCAATTCGCCCCTTTTGGATGATGGATTGGTTCTTTCAATAGCTTCGGGACATTCGTTGAGTCTTTGAATTTTTATGACATAACTACGTATCTGCCTCTTGTATAGACTTCAGGCTGATTTAAGGGTTTATTCTTCTTTTGGAATGTGCCTTTGAAAAACGTTGTATTTTTTCGTTAACTTAAATATGGCCTTGTTCTAAATGAAAATTAGTTCATTTTGTTGGTTTGCTTATTGAAGTAATGTGTTATGTTTTTGGTCCTTGCAGTGCAGAACCCTAATGACAGATAACAATCAAAATGACAGTTTAATGTCAGTTGATAGTTCGTTCGGAAAGCTTCCTGATCATTTGCTAATAGAAATTTTCATCCGAGTTCCTGTCTCAGAGTGGGCACAAATCTCCTGTGTTAAAAAACAGTGGGCCAATTTGTTTCGCGGAGAATTCTTGTGGCAAGCTGCTATTGCTATGACATTTCCTTTGGCTAGCCAAGCTAAAAGGTGGCCGGGACCTATCCCTCGAGGATTGAACAAGAGGTATAATAGCATTTCTACTTCCAGTTTTTGTCCAATCTTGGTTCTTTCTTTCTATCCTTAACTTTTCAATCCCACTTTTTTTTTCTCTCCTTTTGTAATTCCTTTCGTCGGAGTTTTTATATTTTGTTGTTTGAAAAAAAAAAAAAAAAAGCACTATAATCACTGAAGATATAATCATTGCCTTAAGGACAAATTCCTTTTCTTGTTTTAACTTCCCGCTTGAAAATAAACCAAACAACAACTTTTGGCCTAGCTTGATTTGTTGGCATCTTATTTAAAGATCATGTTATGACTTGTGTCTTGATGTTTGTGGATTCATATCTTAAACCGGTGGCTCTTACTGTCCCCTAGGTGCTGATTTGATGCGTGTGCTTTTCGTCAAATATCCATGCATTATATTCTGCTAAGGCACTGGCAATTTTCGCAGGAGATTTGAAGCTTTATATGTCGGTAAACATATCTTTGCTCTAGATGGTGAGATTGATGAGATCGTAGGCCATAGTTATTTGTTTCTAAAAGAGCAGCTTGAGCATTCAACCATGCCACCCTCTTCCACTATACTGCACGGAACCCTCATAGGTGCGTTTCAAATTTCACTTCTCTTTCGTGCTTTCTCTAGTCTGCCTTTATAAACTAGGAACTGAAAATTATTCTGTGAAATGAATATTTATGATTTGAGTACTGATCCTCGATCTCGAATTTGATGAACAAAAGTTAATATAAGCTAGTTAATCTTTCTTTTGCAGCTAACTTGTTGACATGTTCAAAACATTTACTTTACATAACACGTAAGTGTAGAAGTTGACAGCCTCAAATTGTATGCCATTTAATGGAACGCATCTTGAACCTTTTATCGTTTACTGTCACGTGACATGGATAGTACATATTGCATACCAAATCCAATGGGGAATTTCATTGCTGACGCTTAGTTAAATTAATACCAGGCTGTAAATCTCATACGACCTCCTGACCTGGGATTACTGTGTGTTTTAGCAGATCAGTTTATTGCTTGTGGGAAATCGAGAGACATGGCTCATGATCTTGCTTCCCAGATCTGGCTGGCTGTTCTTGACAATTTAGAGGAAAACGAGCAAACTTTTCAATTACTGAAACGTCTTGCACAAGAAGCCGATGTAAGCTTATAAAGTTATACTAATTGCTATACTTGCTATAAGTAATGTCGAAATGCAGAGCATACAAACATGAATAAGCATATATTGTTGCTGCAACATGTTTATTTACTTTGACGCCGTGGTGCTAATAGATTCCGAATGAGCAGGTTTTTCTTCTGTACCCGTACTCAAGATCAATCAAAGTCCAATGGAGGGTGTTTGAAAAACTCTTCACAGATTTTCGCGACTGCTTCAATGATGTAGATTACTATGATGTGTTGGCTTGTGCGAAGAACAAGTTTCAGCCAATACCATCGACTTGGCTAGGTTACTGATCAACCTCAAATGTACCTATTTCAGCTTAATCACGAGTACATTTGTATATATGGAAGTCACTATTGCCTGTGCCTTGCGGGCTATCTCATCTTGAAGAAAACCGCCGTGGCTGTACCATGCTTGATAGGAAAGAAACTGATTATATTTGTACTGTTAATAGGTGCATGATTCAATGTGAAAAAGAATGCCCATGCGACTTTTTTCTTTTCATTGTGAAAACGCCCATATTACTAAGGATAATACTTGCATATCCCACTAGTGCATGTCCTGAATAATGGTTTACCTTGCCCACCTTAATTTTGTGCTCAGGGTTCAAGGGGGGACACTTTGAGCTTGGCTTCGAGTGTCGGGTTTTCTACCCCCTTGTACTTCCTGTATGTTTTTTCGGTTGTTTGCCTGTTGTTTGGCTTTTGTTGTACTCTTTGGCATCTCTTGCCCTGGTTAATACATTTCCAGTATCCAAAAAAATAAAAAAATACTTGCATATCTCAGCTCTTGCGAACAACGTGTTTTTACCATAAAGATTTTATAATTAGAATTATTCAGTTTGTTAATCTTCATTTAAAGATCAATCCTACAAAACAATTATTCAAATCAAAGATCCAAAATTTTGAGTGTATTACTATTCTTTTCCCATTTTCCAATTAAATGTATAAGATATCATCTCTATCAAATTTCAACAATTACTACTAATAATTATCTTTTGGATTTTTATCACAAATGGTCCATAAAGGTTGATCAAACTTATTATTCTGATTCCTCACTTTTAGAATCAATTAATGTCGTCCCTGACATTTACTACTCCACATCAATTTGGTCATTCCGTTAAGATTTTGTTAACTATTGTGTTAGTTTGTATGTGAGAACCACAAATCCAATAAAATGATGACACGTGGATTTACACAAAATAAATGTTTTTTTTATCACAAATGGTCCCTAACATTGATCAAACTCCTCATTTTGGTCCCTGAGTTTCAAAAATCGATAAATTTGGTCCCTCACTTTCACTATGCACATCAATTTAGTCTTTCTGTTAAAATTTCATCTATATTTTTTGTTTGTGTGCTGATGTGGTCCTAGTAATCCAATCATATGGCTCCACGTGGATTAACTATAAAATATATATATATATATATATATATATATATATTTTTAAGAGTGAATCAGTGAACGAGTATTCCGCACTGACATTTTTCTCGCATCCCACAATCCCAATTGGAAAAAAAAAATCAATCTAAATTTGATAAAATCGAATCCAAATTCAATTCAAATTTGATAGGATTATAATCAACTAGAGAGAATAAGGAGTGAGTTTAGGAAGCAAAGTATTTTAGTGGTGTGTCATGGTGTCTTCCTTTTCTTTTTTAGCATACCCTGATTAAAACGACGACTTTTGTTTAATCTTTTAGTTTGGTTTTTAGTTTCTTATTTTACTTTTAGTTTTAAATCATAAGAAAATAGTTTATTGTAGTTAATCCACGTGGCGCCATATGATTGGAAAGATTAAATTGATGTGTGGTATTGAAAGTCATGGATCAAATTTATTGATTTTTGAAACTTAAGGACTAAAATGAGGAGTTGGATCAAGGAACCATATGCAATAAAAACCCTTATTTTGTGTAATCCATGTGTCACCATTTCATTAGATTTGTAGGTCCCACATACAAAATAACAGAATAGTTGACAGAATTTTAACGGAATGACCAAATTGATGTGTGGTAGTGAATGTCAGAGATGACATTAATTGCATTAATTGATTTTGAAAGTGAGAGATCAAAATGATGAGTTTGATCAATCACAGACACCATTTGTGATAAAACCCTTATTTGTTTAGGTTCCATTTTTAGTTGAGAGGAAAGAAAAGTCACCGTTTGGTCCCTTTTTTACGCTAATAGGTTATATAATTTTTGTGCTCAATGCAATCCGTTGTAGTCTAGTTGGTCAGGATACTCGGCTCTCACCCGAGAGACCCGGGTTCAAGTCCCGGCAACGGAACCATTTTTCATGTTCTTATATTTTCAAAGATATTATGGGTTGGTCCATGTCGATATCATGGGTTGGGCCCATGTATTTTAGACCCACAGAATCATGAAATGGTAATACCCCTTGCCTATTTTTTTCTTCGAAATAGTAACTCTCCGATATTTATTTGTCATGTTCTAATTTATTTTGTAGTTGTAATTTTTCTTGGTTCTCAAAAGTTTTGAGTTTTCTGAAGTGTCATGTTTATCAAGGACTTACAAGTAACCAGTTCTCAAAATTTAAGTAGTTATTATTAACACTCTAAATTACATTGCTACCGTGTATAATGAATGGTCTGGGTTAAAGCTTAAAAACTTACCCTAGAGGATTTTAAGTCATAATTCAGAAATTTTTTTTTCCATAGTGATGGCTTAAAATTTAAGTCATTGATTATGAAAGAATGATTTTAACATAATTTTTTTAGTCTTTTAAAAATAAAATTTATGTAGATTATTCTAACTTATTTTATGAACATTTTAACTTAAAAATATTTAAGTTTCGATACATAATGAAAAATCACACCCTAGATAGATATTTTATCATTTTTTAGGTTAAATTTGAGTTAAATGAAAATTTTAATCGTTTTAGCCTTTAGATTTAAATTTGTGTCGTTGGATTTTTTTTACGATTAGATTTAATTTCATTTAATAGCAACTCTTGGATTATAAGTAAAAATAAATACAAAAAAAATTTGAGTATTACCGTTGGATCAACCAACGATCATATTTTTTGGACCGTTGATCAGCCAATGGCTCTATTTTAGAGTGGCCAACAGACCTATCCACATGAGCGCTGCCATTCTTTTGTTTGGTGTGTGGAACGCATCTCACCTATTAGTCCGAGTGAATTAAAGTCTGGCTTTATTCTTGGGTGTAATCTAACCCATAAATTTTCCCTCAAGGGTTATTAAACCCAATGATTTCAAATGGCTTGGGTAGGCCAAAGCTTAAATTTTAAGGAACTTTAACGAAAAGTTTCTGGTACTGTTCACTTTAACAAAAAAAACCATATTTTTAGATTAAAAAGTCAATCTTGGTACTATTTACTTTACATTTTATTTTATCCTTATAGTTAAAACTCAAAAATTTCAAGCCATTTTCATTAGTTTTCCTTAAATTTTAAGATTTAATCCAACCATTGGACAAGGTTTAAGTGTGATATCCCGTCCCGAAACTATCGAAACGTACATGTGAAATGACCTTTTTACCCCTAGTTTGTTACGTTATGTTTTTGGTTACTTGGTGTGGTGTTGGCAGGTGCTAGGCCACACACACACACCCTCACTGTCCCTATCCCTCTCTCAGTCTCTTTCCCTGTCTCTCTCTTTCTCCCGTGCTCCCTTTTCCCTTCCTTTTCACCATATATGTACGGACCACACCCAAAACCCCTCAAACCTTTGCAGATCGAGGGAATCAAGTACACCATCATACTCGTGAGGCTGTGAGGAGCACAGTCGTACCATTTTCAGGTAAGGTTGTAACCGTTTTCATGTCGATTCTGCAATGGCAGATTCGTGTACTGTTCATGCAAGATTAATCTAGTTAGTTTTTGGGATTTTGAAGCTTGTAGATGTGTTAGTGAGGTCCCAAGGAGCTTGGGAATGCATCGTTGGACGGAATTGGACGTCAGACTAGCCTGGTTCGAGTTTGACCAGTGTTGGTAATTGGTGACAGGTGAGTTCTCGTGAGTTTTAGTCCTTAAAACGTATTTGGACGTGTTCTACTAGTTCTAAGGGTTAAAATGGTGCAAGAATCATGGAAAATGGTGGAAAAACGAACGAGAAAACGTCAATTGCAGGTTTTCCAGTTTCCGGCGCCGGCGACGGCGCCGGAGATTGAACGGAGAAGGAGACAGAATATTCCGTCAATTCTGACGGAATATTCCTGACGCTGTTAATGGAATCTGTCAACTTTGACGGAATATTCCTAACGGCATCAGTTGACGCCGTCAGCGTGCCAGGCACGTGCCTGCGCGTGGCCGGCGCGTGTGGCAGTGCCTTGGTCGGCGCGTGGGGGCTCGTGCGGTGGTGAAAATTTTTTCTAAAAATTCTGGTGTGTTCCTGAGGTTGTGTAGAGCACGTTGGTATATTCAATTGTCCATTTTGAGCAATGTATGAGAAGTTATTTTGAACGGATGGTTATGTGCCTTAAAATTAACGTTTTTATAGTATTTTCGCATATAGGTGACACGTATCCCGAGGACGAGCGTGCTCACGCGAGGCAGGGGGGCTACGACCCTTCCATGTACCAGTGAGTGGGCTTTTGTTTTCCGTATATACCTATATACTTATAATTCCCATAAATTTTATATAAATGCTTACTGGTTATATGCCATTCCTTTTACGTTATTAGTTAATATGCATGGTTAGTGGCATATATGATGGCATACATATTCATTCACATGTTATATATATATATATATATATATTGGTGCTGTGGAGGCACAGGTAAGTGTCAGGTAAGTATTATTTAACATTTGCATTAAATGGTGATTAGAGGTGTTTAGAGAACTCATAACCTGCACCCCCGGTGTTAGTGCTCCCGCCTAGAGTAGGGCACAGTCCTTCACGTGTCGTTCACCTCCCGCACCACACACTCAGCTTGGATCCAAGTTAGGTGCACAGTCCTGTCGTACAGACCACTATAGGTGGTTCCGACTCGTAGGTGACCCGCGATTATTCACACAGCCTTCACGTGATCGTAGCACTCGAGCGTTTATATGTATTACACCCAGGCCTGTCGTACAGACCACTGTAGGTGGTTCCGACTCGTGGACAGGTTCAGTTATTGAGATTGAGATTTGAGCTCTAGATGCAGCCGTACAGGTCACTTAGGGTGACTCCGGCTGCCAGATTATATGTTATTGATGTGATTTATACCTGAGCACTTGCATTTCAGGCTGAGGTTCCGTTATGGCATATATTTGAGCATGATTGGCATATTTATTCCTACGTACATATGTTTATTTTCTGGGAAGTATACAGGTTTTACGGCGAGGGGTTAGAATATTGTTTTTGAAAGGGTTTTTGAAAAGCTTTGTTTTTGCCCACTCACACTTTTGTTTTGCGCCCCTCCAAGTTTTAGCTAGCTAGCAGGTTCGGTGGTTTCCCAAAGCGTTTTCCGGCGATTCTGACAGACACGCACCAATGTAGGGTCACTTCGGGTGCACTGTTACCGTATTATGTTAACTTGGATTGTTGTAGATTTAATGCTCTGAACTTAGCGGTTC